ATAATCTCTGCAGAAAAGTACATTTTTCAATCATATAAAATCAGGAGGGGAGCTTTATTCATGCCAACCCTGGTGAATGTGGTGTGGAGGAGGGGAGTCACAGTGGATCTAAACTGGGTTCCTGAATTGAAACACAAGTTGAGCTGCAGAGGCATGACTCTGTCTGTGTGCTTCATTTCAAGAACAGGGATGTTCTTCATCAAGACAGATGGCACAGATTTAGCACACAGTGAGAAAGAGGTGGGAGGTATAAGCCTAGGCTCCCTACTTCAGTAGAGGGTATCATTTATTAATGAATCCAGGTCTGAATTAAAAAAAAAAAATCTTTGCCTCTCTCATCACCGAATCATCGTGCTCACCTCACCTAATCCTTTCTTACAGAGGCTCATAATGACATTATTTATGGAGCTATAAATACAACTATGATTCCCTGAGCTCTTATTGCTTTTCAGATTTACAGGGCAGCAGCTCTTGCAGACTCAGACCGGAATTGGTTTGTTTAGTTCCTCCAAAGGTAAGGCACTGATGTGGCGGCCCATTGCTTTATCAATCAGGACAATGCACAGAGAGTGGAGGGAGGAAAAGCAAAACAACAGGACAGATCTGCTAGCGTGAAGGCATACAGGCGTCACCGAGGAGCCCGTTCTAAATCTGGCATCTGAGTGAGTGGGCTCATTTGTACAGAGAGCAAAGCCTGAGGAGACTGCATTGTAAATTTGTCAGCATGTACCACGCCGCAACAGAAGTAATCTCTATTCACTTTTTAAAGCACGTTACCAGAAATACATCAGTTGAAACTCTCTTCATGAGAATTTTGAAAGGGGCATATGACAGGAACAGGTGTAATGCTGGTAAAACGGACAGGACACAATTCTAAAAAATGGCATTAACTGACCGTATTTCTGTTTTCTAGGTAGCATTTCTGTGTTACACTTCAGACACATGAATTGCATACATATTGAATGGTGTGGTATGATACCGAACACTTTAATGAATAATTTTAGAGGCTGCTTAAAATGTCTCCTAAAATACAGTGGTGTTCAGGCTGTGTTGCCAGCAGTGTGTATCAATGACAACCAGGTAAAACAGGGTGACATAAAGAATTAAACTGCAGCTTACAAAAACACCAATAAGTACCAACCTCCTCTGTACTCTAGCTTTTAACACAAGCTAAAAGACTAAAGACTTTCACGTTTTATAAAGAAATAAAGCTCTTTATAAAGCTATAAGTCAGAAGAGCAGCCCTTGCATTTCATTCTGTTCATTTTTCTGCTTAAGCTTCTGCAATTGAGTTCTGTAATTGAACTCAGCGGCCCTGTTGACCCCTGTTCTCCCTGAAGCCAATCAGAAACCACTCTCTCACAGCACCTGCCACAGCGGCCCACACAGCCCTCAGCTAGCCGTGACGCACCTGTGAAGGAACCCACTCCCAAGGACAGGGAGCCAGGGAGGGTCTTGTGCCCGGATGGGTTACTCTACCAGTAATAATAAAAATCATTTAAATATATACTATAATTATGGCATTATTATAATTCATATTATACATACGTTCTAATAATATCCTTATACTTATATAGCACTTTTCTGGGCACTGCTCTCAAAGTGCTTTACAGTCAATGGGGACTCCCCTCCACCAGTGTGCAGCCCCACCTGGACGATGTGACGGCTGCCATAGTGCACCAGTACGCTCACCACACATCAGTCACTGAGGAGGAGAACGGTGTGATGAAGCCAATTCACGGATGGGATTATTAGGAAGGAAGGAAATATTATTATCATTAGGTCACGATTGGTAAATGCCAGGGGGAACTTTGGCCAGGACACCCATAGTCTTCTCAAGAGACTCCCTGGGATTTTTAATACCCACAGAGAGTCAGGACCTCAGTTTTATGTCTCATCCGAAGGACGGCACCTTTTTTACAGTTTAGCATCCACATCACTGTACTGGGGCATTAGGACTCGCACAGACCGCCGGGTGAGCGCCCCCTACTGGCCCCACTAACACCTCTTCCAGCAGCAACCTTAGTTTTCCCAGGAGGTCTCACATCCAGGTACCAACCAGGCTCACACCTTCTGAGCTTCAGTGGGCTGCCAGCTGTGAGCTGCAGTGTAATATACAGTAGCTGCTGGCAGGTTGCATGGGTAAGCACAGACACACCTGTAGACACCCTACAGGACACGTGTGCTGAAAAGCGCATGCAGACCAGGGGAGAACATGCAGGTTCAGATGTCCTCCCTTCCCAATATTAAACCCGGGATCCAGGCGCTGAGATGCAACAGCACTAAACGCCACCATGTTTCTCCAAATAAATATGTAAGAGATGAAAACAGTAATTTCCTTCATTTGATAAAACTACAGAACACACTTAAATTTAATATTTTCCTTAAAAATCGTACCATAACATACAGTATAATGATGCTACTGGAACATTTTAAGAAAAAAACAATTATAAGAAAAAGAAAACCTCAATGGAACATAGTAGGAATCTATGAAGATTTGTGTCTATTTTTCGGCACACAGCTCTTGCAGGGATACAGGAGAGATATAAAATCGTCAGTCTTTCCACATCCCTACCACAGAATGGAAATCCACAGATTACTTGCACCCATTTTAAAGATCATTTTAAGATTACTTGCTTAGCTGGGAATTGTACAGATTCCACTGCCATTGACACTGCACATTTACTGTGTGTGTCTGTGTTTCAAACCACTGTCCCTGGTTTACAAACTCATTTCCAGTAATTTTCCCTGACGTACTTAAACATTATGATGATTAATAGTTGTAATACGCATAATAATTCCTTGCGTACATAACTTTCAAATAGCGTCCACACTGCACATCAGGTAGCACAAGTGAGAAATTGCCTCACTAGTTAAAACCCTTGCTCTGTAGAAAAGTGTCATAGGATATTTAATTACAAAGTAGTTTGGATCTCGATTTTAACATTTGAAGAACTGCAACTTCTTAGTACAGTGTTTCAGGTCACCACACTAGAAAATCTGAAATGGAGGAAAGAGTGCCACCTACTGGTTCAACAATACCATTGCATCGGCAGCAGCCTGTCGGACTGTTGCAAGTACATTGTACTAGACGCCTGTGAAAATACTGTAAGGAAACTGCAGACCTCAGTACAACACCCATCTTCTTCACCACACAGTATGCACCACATGAAAACCCACGATCAAGAATACTGGATTATCTTATTCCAGTCTTTGAAGCACAAAGTTAATGATTTTCTCACCACACTTCATATCATATTAAAGTACAGATTTCCTTGGTCTTAATTTCTGGTAAGGTATACTGACTTTTCTTCAGGCTTTTTCTTTAGAGGTAAAGTCCACACTGTAGCCTGATCTCGTCAGATTTCAGAAGCTCAGCAAAGCTGGTCCTGGCCAGTCCTGTGGTGGCAGATATCCAAGGAAACACAGGCTGCTGCTCCTGGTGTACCTGTAGGTGGTGATCTTCCCTCTAGACCAGAATTTCCAAAGCAAGACCCCAGTACAGTGACCCGAAACACTGCAAAGTACTCTTTGTGGATGAGACAGTAAGTCAAGGTCTTGACTCGTCATTAAAAGATCCCAGGGCACTCTATTTAAGAAAAAGGGTATTCATATAAGTGGCCCAGCTCCATTTCACTCTAGACTTGTGCACATTCGTGCAATTCCAGAGCTAACAGCTCCCCTCTTCATTCAACTGGTCGCAATTTCGCTCTTCTCTGCTCGATGTGTGAAGTAATTAAGCAGAAGCAGAACCAGAAGCGAATGGATATTGTTCTAGTTGTACAGGACTTTGGGACGAATAGCACCATCTGAATGGTAAGAATTATTACTCATCTCATCTGTGTGTTGCACAGTGTAAGATGTAACAACCGGTTTAACAATCAGTGCGAGTCTGGATGCTGTTTTCCATAATAACACTATAATAATAATTCCCCCCTGCCCTCTTTGGGGATAAGGTTTTGGGTGTGTGAAGGCGTGATTCACACTAAGCCCAGGACTGCGAAGTGAAGAGACATTACGCCAATACTGCTCCATTAAACAACGGTGGTCTCACGGCAGACCTGTTCATTTGCATATGCAAAAAATGTGCTATGTTGAATTTCAATGCATGCGTTTTTTTTTTCCCCAAAGGCTCCTTCAACATTTCCAATTGATTTGCATATGTGGAATGATATAATACATAAAGTTCAGACACAGGCACCGAGATGAAACAGTCTCACAGGTAGGTCATCTTTTCCCTTGAATCTTGATATCCAGTTGGTAAGCAATCCTGCTGTTGATCGATGCAGCCAGGATTCGCAGTATCTCAGTCTATAGAATTCTGAAATACATCAATGGAGAAAACTAAATGTGTGATAATTTGTGTGAAAGTTATATACATAGGTTAAAGAAAATATAATATAAGGTTTCTTTTTAGAGAGGAAAGTAGTCTTTACCATAAAGCAATTTTTAAAAAATTTATTTTTATTGTATTGCAGTAATTTTATCCTTGGAAAATATTTCCAGTTTACTTATGTATGTATTTAATCATTCCTGACCTATATCTCAAATTGCTTGAAAGGCAAACTAGTAGAAGATAGGTATATGAATTCCACTTATCCTTATAAAGGCTGGTATACAAAATTAACATTTAAAAAAATGTGAATTAAGATCATTGGATTGCATTAATATTTCTTTACCCATAACAAAAATATAATACTAGTGGGCAGTATCAGAAAACAATCTAAAAGCCGGTAACTACACATTTAGTGCTGGTTTAACTCATACAGTATGTAGTTTTTCAAACAAGCCTTTGTGGTGTATTTTGATTAAAGAATCATGTTTTGCACTGAATGCAGTGCAACAGTTAAATGAACTCTAACAACAGACTGCATTAATTTCATTCTCTCAGGTTTACTTGCCACAGATTTGAACCTCTGGAGAACCATGATTTGGAAAAAGGCCTGGAGAAGGTTTAGTGATGTTGTAGTTTTCTTTTCCTGTCTGCTAGTCATGCTAACAGGTAGGAGCCAATGCAATCTGCTAAACTGTCCTGTAAAGGAGTAAAATTAAGTATCTGAGTGTTGCCTCTGATTATCCTGGTCCGTAACAGTGACTAATCATCTGTATTTTTACACAGGCTTCCAGGTTTGTGCAAATCTTACAACGCAGAAATCAGTTCATTTTGAAAAAGGAGACCGGACAATTGCAGACCAAGGAAACCCTCATGTGATCAGACCAGCCCTTCTGTTCATCTGTGACCCCAAGGAAATGAAACAGATCATAAAGGTGGACATCTGTGTAAGATGGAGTGAAGACAACCTTTCTTTGACTTTAGCATGCAAAGGACACAAACACATAATTTGTTGTAATTACAGTCTTCCCATAAAGACCTGCCATAATCTCAAGCTTCTTCAAAACATCTCTTATGACAATGCAAAATTCATTTTTTTTAATAACTGGACAGTATACCATGAGGAAACAATAACAATTCCCATACCAGGAGGAAGAGTCAAATGTGGTGAGCATTCAAAATACCATTTTAAATACTGTAGACTAATGCTATTTTCCTTTTGTTTATTACATTTCTCATGGAAGCTCTTGCTTTGCTGTTTCCTTTCAGACAAACTGGTGCTGAACAAGTGCAGTCCCAGCACCGAGACAGACAAGTAAGTGTGTGTGACTGCCACTAACGTGAAAGAGCAGCACCGCCTGTATTCGCGATGTGGCTTAAGGACCCACTGCCGGTATTCAGAGAGTACAGAGCTGGCTGCTGCAGAAAATAAGAAGCTAAACCCTTTTGGCGTAATGTACTTGGGTGCATAGTGTTTAAATAAGCTTCAAGAAAATAGAAAAGACAGTAAAGAGAAAGGTTCCACAGCTGTTCTCTACTTGGCACAGTATTGTTCAGCAGGCAGCAGCACAGAGCAGAGGGATAGCTCCAATAAATACCCTGCTTAACATATTAAATTGGAATTTGTTCTCAATTGACTTATCTGGTTAAGAGCACCACAAGCACTTATATCCCTAAATGGATTAATAAGAGGAATTCCCATGCCGCACATATGTCATGGTGAATGAAATTTACCTACAGATAAAACACAGACTTGTGTTTTTGATTTAAAAAACTGCACATTCGAGCAGACCTTTCATGTCTACAAAATGTTCACCTCATAAAGCCTATGCAGTTGCTTCAGGCAGCTAACGACAGTATGATGTAAGATATTGCAGATTCCTTTGCAGCGAGCAGAGGTAGATAGTCCAGGGCTGATTATCACACAGGCGTTGAGGAAGCTAGAAAGCAGTCCCCAGTACTTCTAAAGTTGCTCTGTGCTTTGCTTAGTGTGATTGAACATTTCATTATCTACACCTCTATTTGTTCTTTTCATAGGTAATACAAATAGTAATACTTAATATGTTGACTTTGCACCTACATTATGTTGAGTCACTGGCTTACACACCATTCACTTGCCTTAATCCTAAACTAAGGTCACTTGAAATGACCTCTGTATTATAATGCACATAATCATCTTAACCCCACACTGAGAAGTAAAGAAAAAACTGTTTTTGTCTTCAGGCATTTCTCCACTCTAACCTCTTCCCAACATTAAGAAATATATCTGTTCCTTTTCCAGAAACCCCAGAGTTACGCATGTTGAATTTATTCACACACGCAACTACAGTGGGATACAAATCTTTGCAAATTCAAATAAGGTAGTATCTCTTTTCTGCGAAGATAACAGATGGCTGTTTGACTGAAACATTACAATTTATTCACATGCAAGGTTTCATTGTGTTACAATCTGCACCTTACCTCATGTAAGACATAGGAATAATAAACCTGTGCAAACAGATTTTACATAATAAATTTGTTTATCAGATACCAGTCCTCTGGTAATAACATCCATGCACGGACGTAGGGGAGGGCATTTTTGACACAAGAAAATAAACTGGAAACCAACCAGTTTTGTTCAGTCTTCTGGAAGCTCTGAATTCTGCACTAGAAGAGTGTCAGTAGACTCATCAGATGGTCTTTATGCAGAGTAACATGAGGAGGGGGTAAATGAGAGGAATTACCATGCAGGGAGTATTTCATTATGGAACAGGTAAAGGTTTATTCCATGAAAGGCAACGAAAAGAGAAACAACATTTTGGCTTTGGAGCCTTCTTCAGGTGTGATACCTGAAAAGTGTGTACCTCTGTTCTTTAACTTTCAGTATGGAATTGATCCTTTACCTGTTCCTTTGCAGGCCATGCCTGCTGAATCAGCCCCCTACGTATATTTTATTATGGAAGAAAACCAAAATCATAACGTAACCTATTCTCGCCCAAAGCTGATAGACGTTGTTCCAGTTAATGCCATCGGGTTCATTCTGCATTTCACTTTTGTTTTTCAGATCTCTCTCAACAAATCGGAGGTCCCTGACCCCGAAATCCACATTGTGCTGCCCCCTGACATTTTCTCAGGTCTTGCAAACAGACCTCCGCCGACTGTCAAATTTATATTTTCTTTGTACAAAAACTTGAAGGCTCATAAGGTAAGACTTTAAGGAAAAGTAGGACCTCGTCTACTTTTTATTTTTGCATTTAGAATATCAGTTATGAAACCAACCTAATGTTCTCTCTGACTTCTATTTATCTGTAAAAAGAAACAAAACTCACAGTTGTGTTTATCAAGCAGATTTCATGAATCAGATGAGCATGTATAGAAGATCAGATGGTCCCTGTAACAGCAGTGGTTTGGTTCCTTTAGAACAAGACTCCCCAGCCTGGCTCTGGGCATAAACACACCTGCTGCTTTCTGTTCAAGTATATAACCAAGCTCTCAGTGACATAACTGAACCTTTAATGACTTAAAAACCAGATGAATTTGAGCTCTTTAGTTGCTTTTAGTTCCTAAACATGTTGAAGGTAACTTAAGATCTCCACCTCCTGAGCGAGAAAAACACCTGGCAAAATTCCCCATCGAGAAACGTGCTGTTCAGAACGCCAGAAGCCGTGTGGGCCCTTAGCACCAAAATCGTTAACCTCTGTCCTATAGAACAAACCACCAGCTCAGCATTAAAACTGTGTGTCGCGTGAATCACAGTACTTAATGTTGCAGTCTTATAGAGGCTTCATTAACCTCTTCCTTTGCTGTAGAAATCCCCTGCTTTAAAGTAATTACAAAGAAGCTTCTGAGGTACTTTAATGTTTCAGCTTCCCTACACAAAATGATAGAGAGCACTCTCCCCCAACGGGATGTAAGAAAAATCAACTCCATCAAACATGTGTGTCCCCGGTCCCTCTTATGAAAGATACCAAGGCTCATATGTCCTTGCATTGTTATGTTAGATGTCCATTGTCCTCCTGTAGAGTTTAGAGCTGAGAGGGGAACCGTGAACAGTGGAAGGAAAGGAGACCATTGCATGTCTGTCTTTGTGTGCACCAGCAGGGAAACCAGGTGCATGCGTGGGTGAACGACTTTGGAATTGGAATAGAGGTAGAGAACGTTACCATCTCCAATCTTTCACACCCTGCCGTCATGAGCTTCTCTCACAAATCCCCAGTCCCGGTCAGTACACAGTCCATATCCGCCGTAGGGCCTTTCACAGTTGAACTGTTCTCTACGAGAGCGCTAAAGGACTGATGCTCTCAAGAAGATAAGAAGGCAAAAATAACGCAAACGTCTTTCTTTTTTGTTGTTGTCGTTTCAGGAAAATATGACAACCAAGTGTGTTTTTCTGAACAGATATGGTAAATATTAAAAAAGAAAGAAAGAACTAGCAATTATTTTAAATGTATTGTTATTTGCTTTCTAATGGAACCAGATTATTACAAATCAATATGACAAGGATCTGAAATGAACCCCTGTGGTCTCCCTTAACATTTATAGATGTTAGAGATGTAATTTTATAGACAATTAAAAACACTCGTGGTCCCATTCTACTGTTCCTTTTTCCATATGCATTTACAGACCACGGTAAATATTTTTAAAAAGGAATAAGTGCCACTGTATGCTAACAATTCTGCCTTCTGTGTTTTGTGACTCAGACAAGTGGGATGATTTTGGCTGCCTCAGTGAGAAGCTACAAAATAGTACAACCTGCAGGTGCAGTCACTTCACCTTTTTTGCTGTACTGATGGTAAGTGGGTTTTTTTTCAGAATGTGCCACATGTGTGCTTAATGCACCATTTTCAGGATCCAATAAGCACATCATCTGATCCATTTAATAATTAGAAGCTAATTGATCCAGGGATCTTATCCAGCCCCTGCTTGAAGCCAGGGTATGAGTTACAACAACAAGACTGAGTAGCTTGTTCCAGGCCTCCTACGACTACCTTTGTGTAAAGAAGTATTTCCTGTCCTGGTTGAGCTAATGTCACCATTTTTTAAAGAAGCCAGGGTACAGGTAACTTGGTCAAGATCCCTACCTCTCTCTGTCCAATGACAGTCTTTTGGGGTTAATTTAATCTCTTTTGGAGAGTAGCTCACTGTTGTCAGCAGTTGCAAAATAACTGTCAGAGTCTTTTTTAAATTTCTTAGCGCAGGTTGAATTGCAGTGCATGAATAAATGATGGGAAAAAGTTCATCTTCTTTACTAAATAGATAATTTTGTAAGACAGCTGTCCCAAGTAATCTGTTCAATCAAGAGAAAAACTTGAAACTGGCGACTGGTGACCTACAAAACCTACAGGCCTGAGGCTCTCCTGGACCAGGGCTGGTCTAGCCTATGTCTCTATCCAAAATAACAGAAGTTTCAATTGCTGAACTAGAAATGCACACAACTAGAGTTACATAGTGTAGCAGTCGCCGTTTCTCCACTGACACACTGGAAGTAACCGGGTGAGGAACTGCAAATTGCCCTGGTACAGAGAATCAATTCCCCTCCGAGTTTATCAGTTCGATCCAGGTTTAGCCCTCCATGTCTCAGTAAAAGACATTACAAGTTTGTTACCCACATACTGGTGTTTTTAAGTCCTAATAACCTCACACTACAATATGTGGTCCCCAGAAGTATTGACAATGTTTAGAATTACGTATGAAAAACATGAAGAAAGATTACTGTGCTTTGGACACACAGAAACATTGCTATTTCACTTTCTTTTGTTTTTAAAAGTGTTATTTAGCATGCCATTTCATATACTAATATTTGGACAGATTTTGGACATGCCCTGTCCAAATTATAATCAGAGAAACTGCGTATCGGTGGTACATTGTACATGTTTTGTTGCTGTGAGCAGATTCCTGCCTCCAGTCTGGACACACAGAACACTCGCACCCTCACCTACCTCACTTACATCGGCTGTGCTGTCTCAGCAGCCTTCTGCGCGCTCACTCTCCTGACACACTGGAAACACTGCAGGTGAGTCACTAGCGCCTTCCTTTCCATAGCCACCGCAAAAGCTGAGCAACACAACCGCATCAGCGTGTGTTGCACACAAAACAAACATCACTCTAAAGCAGATATGAGATCACTCCCCACAGTGGCTGCTGTCAAGATCAGGTTGATAATGTACTGGATTTTATGACCTAAGAGAACTGGAAAAGGGCAGATATGCTTGCGCCTGTTACATGTTGCAAGAACCAGAAAGAACATGTCAATTCTGCTCTCTCGCATGAAAGCAGTGGAACGATCTCCCAGCCCATATTAGATCTTATAGGTCAGTCAGCACTTTCCTCTAATGTCTTTAAGCTCCCTTTTCTACCATCTTTAAAGTAACATGCAATGCACTGATCTGAGTAAACCCATCTCTTACTCTCCTTGCTTTTCTCCTGTTTTATTGCAACACGCATCACAAAAGGTGCTACTTCACAGGTAATTATCATATTACAAAAACAGGTTCCTACAGGTCTTTAAACTAAACTGAAAAAGAAATGAAAATATAGGGCCCATTCTATGTACTTTGCATCCTACTGTGCACAAATTATTTTGATTAATACAATAGCTAGCTAAATACTAACACTTTTTAACATGATTAAACATTTAATGTTTGCAACTCAAGATAAATGTCATCATTGTTTTAAGCTCTGTATTTCTGGATGTGCAAAAAGCAGCCTGGCCCACTCTCTCCCCCGCTGTGCCGTACAGAAGAGCAGCCAGCGAGCACTCCGTTCAGATCCACGTCAACCTGGCGTCGGCCCTGCTCCTGCTCAACCTCAGCTTTCTGGCCAGCGCGGTGCTGTCGCCTCTCTCCGGCCCAGGCCTGTGCACCGCGATGGCTGTCCTGCTGCACTACTCCCTGCTCTGCACCTTCACCTGGATGGCCCTGGAGGCACTGCACCTCTGCCGGCTGCTGTGGCAGCCCTTCACCACCTACATCCGGCGCTACCTTCTCTGGCTCTGCCTCCTGGGCTGGGGTAGGCACAGCAGCCACGGCTCCGATGCCCTCCGCTTCCTAGCTAAACTCTTCATCGAAGAATCTCTAATGCGGTCTCCCCTTTCTGCCCCGACTTGCAAACCGCAGCGGCCCAATCTACGCCAGCTGAAACAGCCTCAGTAACCTGGGTCAGGGAACACCGAGAATTGGGCTCATCAGAGACACACTTTCAATTCGCTGCAGCATCATGCAGAGGACTGACAAAGGTCCCACTTATCATGACATCCCTCTGGTGGATACCTAAAGACACACGTCAAGCACCTTGCCAGCAGAGCACACCTGGCCACTTACCTTCAGACTATATAAGATCAATCTTGCACCGCCACTTAGGGTCTCTAGTAAAGAGGGCCTCATAAGAGCTACAGACACCAGCATCCTTCTCAAACAAGGCAGAGCAGCACAAGAGACCTAGCCATGACTATACACTAGCTTCTGAAACCAAGTGCCAGGACAGAGCAAGAAACTGGGACCGAGCTACCTGAGCCACTGCAGAGCCATCACAGACGCAGCCCTGCCACCACTGACATAGAAGAATTCGATCGGCTTAAAACTCATCTTCACTCTTCAAAGCAGTGACCTATCCTGGATGTTGGTTCCTGCAACCAGCCAGCCATCTTTTGGAGCTGCTATTGGAAATTACATTGTTTTCCCTTTACCAATAAAATACCATTTTGCACACAGACGTACAACAGCAGTAGTGGGAAACAGCGATAAATTACAATCACAATAAGGAAAAATGCCAGCTGCCACATACACATTTCACACTGTGAAAATAATTTCATGATATCCTGTTTGTTTCACACTTTCCCTCTCTTTGTGCCCAGGTTTCCCAGCTAGTGTTGTGCTCATTATTGTTGCAGTCAACAAGAAGAATTATGGTCAGACCACTACTGGTACATCATCCATGTGAGTTTGCTCTAGCGACCCGTCGAGAAACTGATATAATTGTATTAAAGGTGTGCAAAATAACATCAGCTACACCCTGTCCTGTGCAATCTGACACCTTATTTGCTTTACAAACATGTTTGAATGATCTAAAATGGAAAACAAATAGACTGTCTAACAATATTCCCTGGCCTTTCACACTAACATCAAAGCTGATCTGAAGACCCTTGTCTTTGCGCTTCAGATCAGCTTTACTAAGGCTCTCTGCTGGATACGTCCGCTAAGTGTAACACCTCCTGTTAACGTCATGCTCCAGAGTAACCACCATCCTATTTCAAGCCACATGTTCTAAGCAATATCTGATGAACAGCATATAAAAAAGTTCCTTGGACTCGTGATTGAGAATTACTGCAGGAAGAATTGTATGAAGGTACTTTCTGATTTGACAGTGAATTATAGTGGTAATAATCAGTGGACTTATTACTTCTAGACAGAAGAGAAATCCCAATGGCACTGCTGCCTCAGAGCTGTTGGCTCCTGGGTTTCATTCTAGCCTGGGTCTCACACCTCTGTGTGGAGATTACTTTACTTTAAGTGTGCCCTGCAATATTCTTGAGTACTGTGCGATTGTGTGTCCTGTGCAATTGTGTACCGTGCAATGTTCTTGTGTCCTGTATGATTGTGTGCCCTGGTGTTATGTCCAGGCTGTGGTGTTGCCTTGTACCGTGTACTTCTGGGATAGATTTTGGGTTGTGCCATCACTTACCAAGCATCTGGTAATAGATGGATGGAAGATATACACTGTAGATATATGAAGTAACTGGACCACAGCATTTCTCACTATCAATAATTATTATGACTTGCTAGGATGACTAGCATTTGCTATTCCTATTCGGCAAATCTTTTTTAATATATTTTCATGCAATAATATACAGCAGATTTCAGAATGTGATTGGCCATTTTGCTCAGATTAATGGCAACTTGAATGAAATGTACACTGTCAGTCCGTTGCCCTGCGAAGCAGGTGACATCCCCGTGGTGATGTCACAGGAAACAGATTGAAGAGGCCGGACCGTTCACTGGTGTCACAGAGGCCCAAAGCTGGCTGCAAGCTCCCGCCCCTTACTGCCTCCCTGCATAGCAAAGCCACAACCTGACAACGGACCCGAGAGGCCAAACGCACAACGCACAAATGTCAGTTCAGCTGTGAGGGAAACCCATTGCAGCCCACCAGCAGTTAATGAAAACTGAGTGCAACCACACAGTCCGCACACTCAGTTTCACTTCAACCGGCATCTGAGCTCAAGGCTTGAGCTAAAACATCTAAAACCCAACAGGTTTTCCAAAGCATAATAAAGAAATTAAAGCACAGCTACGCCTAGCTCCCAAAACATTGGCGTGTGCACGGAAACATTAACACACAGTTTATACTTTTAAAAACAGACAACGGACCATAATAACACTGCAAACATAAAATCAACAGACAAGCAACCATAAATTCTCATTCAGATGCTCCTGTCGTAACAAAACAGGTGTTGGGTGACAAACGTGACCATCCACTATGCCAGCATCACCGGATACTTGGGAATTGTGCTGTTCTTGAATGCTGGAATCCTGGTCTCTGTGATCACCAAAATGGCGCAGCTGAGGTCAGTGAGCAGCCACAATGAAACCAGTCGGACCTGCAAGGCCACCTGCAGCGTGCTGGGGCTCAGCTGTGCGCTGGGGCTCACCTGGGGACTGGGCTTCCTCTCCATCGGCTACATCAACCTCCCCATCCTCTACATCTTCACCATCCTGAACTCACTCCAAGGTAACAGCAGGCAGCTGAGCTGCAGACAAGAGAGGGAGAGTGATTTAGGAGACAGCTGAGCAACAGACTAGCAGCCTCAGCATAGCTGAAGTCTTCTATTCGGAGTTAATTACGTTTCAATGCAAATGCAATTGGTTTTTTTTTCATAACTTTGACAGCCTATCAGTCAGACAGCATTAATGGCACTTCGTTCTGTGCCACTCAGTGAGGTAACCCTTCTACATAAAAGAATAGATGAAAATCTCAAGGGCCTTTCTTTCAAACTCTCTCTCATAGAGTTTAGCGTGACACTTAATATGTAGGTTGACCTCATATAAAGGTCGATTTCAAGAATTTCCCTCAAGACTCACAATTTCTTGCTGTTGGTACGGAATGTGACTCTCTAGGTTAAGAATTACTATAACCCTCTGACTTTCCTGTTCTTCAAGGTTTTTTCCTGTTTCTGTGGATCTGCATGATTAGATATCGGAAAGAGGAACTTGCGTGGAAAAGCACACAAAATCTGGAGACAAAGCCGCAAAACAACATCATCACCACCACCACCACGTAAACTTAACCACATAACGTTGAAGTTGTTGTAATTAATTCTTCAGCTTTCAAATGTAACGTGAGACAAAATAATTTGCAGGGCAAAATAAATAAATGTGATCTGGTTTTGTGTTTTAAAACATTGCACCATAAGAAAGCAGAACTCACAATTTAATACCAGGTATGACGCACATTTCCTCAAGCGACGGGATTAATCACTACGTACTGTAACTTTCGGGCTACAAAAATGTTTTTCCCCAAACCATTTCAAAGAAAGCAGCAGTTGCTGATTACAATCTATTACAGAGGTGTATCGGTCCCGTACAGAGTGAAAACCTGGCAGGATGTTGATTGGTAAAGACTGGTTCATTGATACGCCTGGTGCAACGGTTAGCACAGCAACCGCTAAACTCGCTTGTGGTCAAAACGCGTGCGGCCGCACACATCACAATAATATTTCTGAAATCACCTATTTTTATATTCACATCCATATTTGTGCACAGCTATTTCAATGATCTGTTAGTTTACACGCATGATTACCTATAGTAATTAAAAACCGTCTTAGTAAACTGCCCACAGTGACGTATTAAAATTCCACAACATTAAATCAAAATAGCTTCTCAAAACTGAAAGTCTTCTCATTAGTTGAACATGCCTTCAAGGGGAACTCGACAGCTAACGACCCCCCAGTTCCTCACAAAACTGGGAGCGATTGTAGAAAACCCAGAAATCACATCTTTCCAGGTAAATTGGAGGTTGTTTTTTTTATGTAATCATGTCAAAAACACAGTGCGTGAATCGTATAGTCTCATTATTGCCTTACTGCTTTGGTGTTCAATTAAGATAGGGTAAAAACGTTTCAACGCATGATGATCGAAATCATATAATGAGCCTATAATGTGATAAAACTGAATCATAACACTAAACAATAAAAAAATCTAAATTAAATGGGATCTTATTCATTTACAGCATTTTCTTATGCGGTGTTCGTCCAGTTAATAACTTCACTCTTGATTCATGTAGTGGGGAGAAAGCGGCAGGTCGGTGATCATTAAAGGAACGGTTTATGAAGAGGAAATCAACACCCGGGAACATCTGATGTTTCTGAAGAAATTCAAAACCACGGCCATGCTGCGAGGGCTTCTGTGCACCTACGGGTTTCAGAAGATGGCGAGGTGAGGACACACCGGGAGTGGGTTATCACCCATTTTTTTTTAACCGCTTTATCCAAAACAGGCTATTGGGTAATCCGGAGCCCGAGCCCATCTCGGCGAGCAACAGCCGCAAGGCAAGGTACACCCTGGACGGGACGCCAGTCTATTGCAGGGTAGATACACTCACTCCACGGTCCGTTTTCCCAGACGTCAATTCACCTCCTGTAAGAAGAAACCGGGGCATGCGGAAAAAACACCCCACACGGGAAGAGCATATAAACTCCACACAGACTGCACCCCAGGAATTGAACCCCTGCGCCACGGCCGCGCCCGGGAGGGGTGTCTGAATGACAATTTGAAGAACTTCAGGACTGGGCAAAGCTAAGGGCAGACTAAAACTACAAATGTAGATCTGTAATCGCACGCTTCATAAGTTAAGGAGGATACTGTTTATAGTGAAAATAAGTATTTAACCGGGACTTACATAAAGATGTTTAGGTTTCCCGCAAAGCGAGCAATGTAGCGTTTCCTCAGGCGAAATATAAGATTATTATAATCATTCATATTCCTGTGTTTTAAAGATTTTGTCTGTAAATGCTCAATTAAAATGGAACATTTCACGCCCTCCGGGAACTTGATAATTACTTTGGTTCCTCGCTCACTTCCTCCTCCCCTGCAATTTTTTTTAAACCCAGCTCTCGACAGAGATGGATGTGGTGTTTGAAATTGGGTAGTTGAATCAGTTAAGCACAAGCGGTTAGCGAGTGAAATGCTCTTTCCTTTAATGTCTCTCTTTAGAGAGCAAGTACTGGGGTT